GCACCTCATACTCGTCCATCCACTCTTCATCTCACGTATTCGCGCTCGAAATGTGGAGCAACACCTGACGATCTGTGTCGGATCGCGGTGACCCGAGTGGGCGCTCTGGATCGCACTGGATCGCGAGGTGATTGCTAAACACGCCGACAGCCCCAACCCGACCCGTTTCGTTGACCAATAAGAGCGAGGTATTCGCTACCCGATCCGATCCGATCCCGGTTCGGAACGGCCCTGAGTCGAAGAAGGAATCGTAGCGGGAAGGTATTGCTTGAGTCGTCCGACGTAGAACGTCGGATGTAGTCGCAGCGACGTGGGGATATCCAGTGTGTAAGCCTCGCCAATAACCTTAGTCACCGTAAATGGCCCAATAAAGCGCGGTGCGAGTTTACTCGCGCCGAGGTTGGTGACGGCAGAGTCTCTAATTCCTGAAGTCGACAGGAGCACTCGATCTCCTGTCGCGAACTTTACTGTGTGTTTGCGGCCGCGCTTGTCCGCGTTTTTCTTCTGCTTGTCGACCGCCGTCTGCAGCGCGTCGCGGACGTATCGGGTGACTGCTTGGCGCTGGAGGAGGAAGTCTGAGACAGCGGTGTTATCAGCCGGATGTGCCGGTTGCTTTGGCGCGTAGTTCGCTGATGGAGACACCGCGTTAGCGGTGCCAGGACTGATCAGGGCACGATTCGTCCACGAGGCGAGAGGGGACACTGCGTCGCGGGGAGTCGTCAGGGCCTTCCTGGCCTGGGCGTGTGTCACTGCGTTAACAGTCGCTGAAGATGAGGCTGCACTCGAGGAGGATTCGGCAACCGGTATGGAAACCGGTTGAGGATCCATTACCGGTGTTGGCGTAGAAGGCTTGTCGGCAACCGGTATGGTAACCGGTTCTGGGTTCAAAACCGGAGTTGTCACAAAGTGGTTGTCGCCTCTTTCACCCCCACCCAGAGTGGAGCCACACGGCGCCGTGGGACAGCCCACGGCGAGGAGAGCTGGAACGCGAGGGTGACGAGCGTTGTTGACGAAGAAAGGAGTCAAGCCAGTCGACGCGTGAACCGCGTTGTTCAGCGCGATCTCAGCAAGCGGAAGGAACGAGCTCCAGCTCGTAAACGACGTCGCATAGCTGCGAAGTACGTCCTCAAGGACGCGATTAACTCGCTCGGTTTGGCCATCCGTCTCCGGATGAGCGGCCGTCGACATCAGCAGCTTTGTCCCTGATAGCTCGAAGAGCTTCGTCCAGAAAGCAGACGTGAACCGCGGATTGCGGTCCGAAACAATGGACTCGGGCATGCCATGATGACGGACGACTGCATCCACGAAGTGCACCGCGGTATCGGCCGCGATGATCGTATCCGGGACCGGGATGAGGTGAACCATCTTGCTGAACCTGTCGACGAATACCAGGACACCGGAGCGCCCGGCGGAGTCGGGTGGGAGGCCAAAGACGAAGTCCATCGACACCGAGCGCCATGCCTCGGTGGCCACTGGTAAGGGACGCAGGGGAGCCTGCGATGACGCGGACGGTTTCACGCGTTGGCAGATCTCGCAGGTCCTCACCCACTTGCGCACCAACTTATACATGTGGGGCCAGTAAAAGTCGCGCGACACTGCGGCGAATGTCTTCTCACGGCCCAAGTGAGCGCCAAGGGGGATATCGTGGAACTCGTGGATGATCCGCGAGCGCAAGTCAGGATCGTTGGGAACCACTACACGCGAAGCATCGAAGCGATCGATGCTGTACGTTAACAGCCCGTCTTCAATCCGATACCTATCGATCTGATGGCGTGTGGAGCGGGACAAAGCACTCAGTGTCTTTTCACTGGGTGAGCGGAGATGTTCCAGAATACTCGAATAGACCGGATCGAATTCATACGCAGTCCGGATTTCGTCGCGGAGTGGGGTTTCTGAAGACACGCTCGTCAGGTTCAATCCCGACGCCAAGCACATAGCACAGTTGTCTTCGTCGTCTTCATCATGCAGCGGTTGTCGACCCAGCGAATCGCGTGGGTCGTAATCTGGACGACGAGACAGAGCATCTGCAAGGATGTTGTTCTTGCCGGGTTTGTAGTGAACCACGAAATTATACTCGAAGAAGAACGACAACCAGCGATCCATTCGCTGGGAAAGATGAGGGCTCTTCATCGCTGTCCTTAGCGATGCGTGATCGGTATACACTGCGAGGTTTGCTCGCCGAGTAAGTACACTCTGAATTTAATCAGAGCGTAGCGCATCGCGAGAAGCTCCTTGTCGTGGACAGGATAGCTGCGCTCCGCTGGCTTCATCTGTCGAGACTGATAGCTGACGACCCGTTCACGTCCTTCGTCGTCAAACTGCATCAGCGCACAGCCGATGGCAAAGTCGCTCGCGTCGCAAACGACGTGATATGGTTTCGAATCGTCGGGAAGAGCTAGGATCGGCGCCTCAGCAAGGCTCTTCTTCACTGAGTCGAAGGCGGCTTGGTGCGCGGGTGACCAGACCCATGTGGCATCTTTCTTCAGGAGTGATGAGAGGGGCTGGATCAATCCGGCGTAATTCTTCGTGTACTTTTGGAGATAATTTGCTAGCCCCAACCACTGACGCAACTCAGTGGGGTTCTTTGGTTTCGGCCATGCGCAGATAGAGGACACCTTCTCCGGGTCGGCGCGAACGCCGTCCTTGCCCACGAAGCAGCCCAGCACCGGAATCTCCGGCGCGCAGAAGATACACTTCTTCAGGCTCGCGTACAACTTGTTCTCGCGCATCACTTGGAAGACCTGTTTTAAGTGCCTCAAGTGGACTTCTATCGCGCCGAGACCATCCTCAGCGCGGCTGTGCACGAAGATGTCGTCGAAGTAGCTCGGTGCGAAGTCTCGAAGCGGATACCGCTGGTGGTGCTGACCGCTGTCAGGGGGATGTCGCTCGGTCTCATCAAGATCTGATAGAATCCATCGGTCAAGTCGATGGCGCTGAAGGCGACACTGCCCGCCATGGTGTCGAGCACCATGTCCTTCCGGGGAATTGGGGTTTTCGCGGGGATGGTAGCATCATTCAACTTGTTAAAGGCATGAACGATGCGCCATCCGCCTGTGGCCTTCTTCACACAGAACGTTGGGCTCGAATGTGGAGAGACACTCTCACGCACGTGACCCGCTTTACGGCGATTCTCGAAGAAGTCGTCGATGGCCTTGACTTGGTCTCGCGGCAGCGGCCACTGCCGCGTCACACAGTACTTCGAACCGGGCGCGAGATCGATCTCGTGGCGGACGCCTCGATCGGCAGGCAGTTCGGCTGGAATCTTATCGGGAAAGACGTCCGCGTATTCGCGGACGGTCTCGTACACTGGATTACCAGACTCGCGCAAGGACTCCCAGGACTGCGCTGCGAATCGCTCCTCGCGAGCGGACTTCGGTTCGGCGCTCTTGGGACGGGTGGATCCGTCGTCATCACTGACGGTGTTCCCTTAGAGTGGCGTAGACGAAGTGTCTGTGATCAGGCAGACCTGCTCAACCTCACCAACCTTGAGACCACGAAGGAAGTTCTTCCAGGAGAGACCTGAAAGCCGGGTGATCGATTGAGCGTCGCGAGGTGGACACACAAGATCGACGGTGCGCTGACGGCCCATGCCGTCGTCCACGTGCTCAATGACACAGACCGACTCCGTCTGTGAGATGCTGTTCGGTGCAGTTTCACGTCGTGGCTTCAAATGACGGCGCTTCGAGTTCTTTGCCCGGCGCCTCGAGTGAGTACTCGAGGAGGAAGAATCGCTCTCGCTGGACGATGTATCACCCCGCTCTAGGCACTGGAGCTCACTCTCGACTGTGTCGGTCACACGCGGGGGCCACTGCTTGACCGCGTGGTCGTTCGGCGGGAGCTCCAACTGCTCGACCACCGGCTCGGGTGACGGGAGCCTCGACTGCTCGACCGCCGTGTTGCATTGCAGGAACCCATGCTCGACCGCCATATGGTGCTGCGGGAACTCATGCTCGACCGCTGTGGTGCGCCGCGGGAACACATGCTCGACCGCAGTTGTGCGCCGCGGGAACCCATGCTCGACCGCTTGCTCGTATGCGGGAGCCCCTGCTCGACCGCCATCGTGTTCTTGCCCTCGCCTCGCGGCGAGGAGCCTTCGTGCAACAGCACTGCGCAAGCCGTGCAGAGAGGGCCATCGCTCACTCTGTGTCCAGCCTGCGTCGTGGACGACCGGTCCACGACGGTGACGTGGGGCCAGTCCTTCTGGGCAACGAAGAGGTAGGTGAACACCTCGCTCACGTCGAAACCGCTGCGGTGTTTAACCGAGCGGGCCAACCAGTCAATCTCTGGTTGATACCGTGACAACCACGGGATGCCCAGGATGCAATCGAATGCGTAGTTCATCTCAATCACGAGGAAGTCGTCATTGCTGCGAAAGCCGTCGAAGGTGTACGGCAACGTAATCTCGCGCCGCGCGACGTGGCGCGGCTTTCCGTCAGCAAGCTTGACTATACACTTACTTGAACCCTTAGTTTCGATTGGTAAAGAGGTTTTGACGTTTGGTTTACTACTTTGATATTTGGTATGTTTGGTATTATAAACCAAAAACACTTACAAAAAAAAATCAAAATTACGCAAAGTGCCACGATAGAAATTTCCGCAAATGACTGAGACAACATGATGTATCTTTGACACACCAAATCGAAGATAAATTATTTTTCCCCTACATGATGGGTAACGTTTTTTACATGTGTTTTGGAGCGTTCAAAAACGGTACAGCACTACCCACACAAGTCAATTAAGGGCTACACGTATCTAATTTTGGTAGCAGCAGCATCGTCCGTTTTTTGCGGATCGACTTCGATTGGCAATCCGTGACACTCTTTTCATTCACTTGACCTGACTATGGTCTCAGACACTCAGCTCAAGTGCGTCAGCCGTAGGCTATGACCAGTGGCCATAGCCTGCTAATGGCCACAGTAGCAGCGGAACGGAAACTCTTCCAGTCTCCAATCGGCCCTGAACAGCTCAAGTCCATTCACTAGTGACAGTGTAGCTCCGTCATGACGGTACTGCTGCAGTCCAATGCCGAGTCGCTCGTTTCCCCCGCCACCACGACTAAACAGCCGCGCTATTCCACGTTCGTTAGTGCTAACGATGAGGCGGATCGGGCCAAGCAGCGGCTGCATATTGCGCAGTCTAGACCAGGCACGGCGTCGCTCTGGTCGCGTCTCTTCTTCTCGTATGCCAACCCCATGATGCACGCCGGCAACACGCGCCAACTGGACAATGACGATCTGTGGGAACTTGAAGGCGAGAATCGCTCAGCCGCAGCCTTCGACGAGTTCGTAATGCACTACGAACGCCACGACAGGTCCATCGTCAAGGCAATAGTGACAGCGTATGGAGGAAGATTCTTCCTCTGTGGTCTGGCGATGCTCTTCACGACGGCCTGCAATCTCTTCGCGCCTGCTGTTCTGAACCACGTAATCACGGTGTTTGCGGCACCTCAGATCGACATGTTCAACTTGAGTGCGTGGCTCGGCGTTTTCTTTGCGTCCCGAATTGTCAACGCCGTAGTGGCCACCCAGATGCGGTTCTACCTCGAATTGATCGCGTTGCGACTTACAGTGACGTTAAAGGCGTTGCTGTTCCGGAAGGCCATGCGCCGCAGTATTCAGAGCAAGGGAGATGCCAAAGCCGTGGACATTTCTAACCTCTTTTCGTCTGATGTGAACAACATTCTCTTCGCAGCTTTTCAAATCAACAGTCTATGGATCATCCCGATTCAGATCGTGGTGGACGTCTACATGTTGTACGCCGTCATCGACCTCGCTGCGTTTGCTGGACTGGCAGTCATTGCGCTTTTCATGCTCTTGAGTTTTGCCATCGCCAAGCTATCGGGAAGTGCATTTGAGGACATTATGAAACACAAGGACGACCGCATGAAGACCATCAAGGAAGTGTTCAATGCCATTCAGATTGTCAAACTCAACGCGTGGGAAGACAAATTCGCTGACAAGATCCAGAAGCTTCGTGCTACGGAGCTCTCGGCTGTGAAGAAGTTCATGTACTTGGGCGCTCTGAACATTTTTGTGCTCTGGGCTTCTCCTATTGCCGTCTCGGCTGTGTCTTTTGCTGTGTACGCCATTGTGATGGAGAAGGTGCTGACGGCAGCGAAGGTGTTCACAGCCATTGCGCTGTTTAACGCTCTCCGAGACCCACTACGGGACTTACCCACAGTTATCCAGACGTGTATTCAAGCCAAGGTTTCGCTCGATCGGTTCTCTGACTATCTCGCACTGGATGAGTTCACTCCGTCGAATGTTATTCGTCACGATCTGGCCCAGCCCGACGACGTAGTCATGGCAATTGACGATGGTACTTTTGGTTGGACAAAGGATACACCACTGCTAAGCCAGGTCAACCTCACCATTAAAAAGGGTGAGTTGGTAATCGTGCACGGCTCCGTCGGCAGTGGCAAGTCATCCCTGTCTTCTGCTTTGCTGGGAGAAATGGACAAGCTGGCCGGTAGCGTGTTCGTACGAGGTCGTGTCGCCTACTATTCACAGCAGACGTGGATCCAGAACATGACGATCCGTGACAACATCCTGTTCGGTCTGCCATATGACAACAAAAAGTACGCTAAAGTGATCGCGGCGTGTGGCCTACTTCCAGACCTAAAGCAATTCCCTGGCGGTGACTTGACGGAGATCGGACAAAAGGGTGTCAACTTGTCTGGTGGTCAGAAGGTGCGTGTTTGTCTTGCTCGTGCGTGCTACTCAGATGCTGACATCCTCTTGCTCGACTCCCCGTTGGCGGCTGTCGATGCGATCGTGCAGAGTCAAATCTTCGGTGACTGCATCTGCAACTTGCTGGCGGAAAAGACCGTCGTGCTGGTGACGCACAGTGCTGACATTATCGCGAGTAAAGCCGCCAACTTGAAGGTGCTGGTGGAAGACGGCAAGCTGACAGCTATTCGACACGACGTGGCTTTACCACGGAGCTCGTTTAAACTGCGGACAATTCGTTCAGCGGTGGATGAAGCTAGTCACGATGATGAAGCCGTAAAGAACGACGCTGGCAAATTAATTGACGATGAAGAGCGGGAAGAAGGTCGCGTGTCGAAGGAGGTCTTCGCCAATTACTTTAACTCGCTAGGTGGCGTCAAGGTGTGCGTCTTCCTATTCTGCGTGCAGACACTGTGGCAAGTGTTCCAGATTGGCAGCGATCTGTGGCTGAGTCACTGGACGGGACAGAAGGGCGGCTCGTACAACCAGCACGAGACTGCGTACAACGTGAAAGTGTATTCGCTGCTTGGGGCAGGCGCCGCGGTCATGGTCTTCGTTAGATCAGCTACTGTGGCAGTTGTAGGTCTCCGAGCCTCGCGCCATCTCTTTGACAACATGACGGTGTCGCTGTTGAAGGCTCCACTCCGCTTTTTCGACGCGAATCCAAACGGACGAATTGTGAACCGATACGGTGACGACATGTCCGCTGTGGATTTCATGATCCCATTCGCGTTTGGAGGATTTCTCGCCATGTTTTTCTTCACAGTGTGCCAGCTAGGAACTGCTGTGTACACCATGAACTTTTTGGGATTTCTGATTATCCCACTGGTGTGGATGTATGTGAGAGTTGCCAACTTTTATCTTGCGCCGTCTAGAGAGATTTCACGCCTTTGGAAGGTGTCATCGTCCCCCGTATTGAGTCACGTGACGCAGTCGGAAGAGGGTGTTGTGGTGATTCGCGCATTCGGCCAGGACACTGTTGGTCGCATGATCAAAGAAAACTTTATCCGAAACGATGTCAACAGCAGGTGCTGGTTTTCGGAGACTGTCACGCAACAATGGTTCCAAGTTCGCATGCAGTTGATCGGATCGGGAGTCATTTTCGTGGTGGTTTCGGGACTCGTGTATTTGCGCGACTACTTGTCTCCTGGTCTGGTGGGACTTGCATTCACGTATGCTCTAAAGGGCTGGTCGCGCTGGCTGGTGCTGGTTCTGGGTCTGGTGCTTAAGTTAGGTTTAGGTGTAAAGAGCGCTGTGATTGGCTGCCGCCAGCTGAGGGGTAGGTTAATGCTACTACTTTGCGACAACTTGAGAACTTGCAAAAGAGTTGAGTATCCGGGCTCTAGTTGGGCAGTGGAAGGCTGGCAGCATTTTGCATTTTGCAGACACCGTGCTTTTGACGATGCCAAGCGAGCCCCAAGTTGTTGCTCTTGCTGCTCATACCGTAGCTGCTAGTGTCTTCTGCCGCTCACTCATGTCCGTGGCGAGAAGAAGCCACGTTACCTTGAGGGCTGCATTGTTTTTTGCGCTGCTAAAGCGGTCCGCGTAGGTGTCAAAACGCAGCGTAATCAGATCCCGCACCATGCTCTTGGTCCAGTCAAGTATAGCCGAAGGCTTCTTGCCACTTGAAGCTGGCAGCTTCTTGGATTTATTCCCCTTCCCACGCTTGGGGACGGGTCCTCTGCGGTCGACCGCAGAAGGACTCGACCCCGCGGTGCCACCCAAAGAGCCCGAGAGGTTGGCATCCGCTTGAGGGGGTAGCGTGACGCTGGCCGCTAATGTGTCACTGCTACCGACGAGCAATCCGTTAATCTGGGCTGCTTCTGGCGCGGGGTAGCTGACGATGTCATGGACCCGCTCACCGGACGCGTAGGGGGCATGGTGTACTTGAGCGCGCGAAGTCTAAAGTGAGCACTGCCAACGGTTCTACAAGCGACGACAACCACTGAAAACCAGACAGCGTCTTGTTCTGATACCTACCCCTAGCGAGAACCAGCACCAGCCAGCGCGACGCAAAGTTTTGTCCTAAGCGAACTTCGATTATGACCAATGACAGCGCTTTATTTAAAACAGATGGCTGCACGTTAATGTGTCTTTCCGCGAGCATAAAGAGGCACTAGGGAGAGCGACAGCGTACAAATAGGTAGAGCTGTTCGACCGAAATGCTATTAATAGCTCTCACCGGTGTGCTACTTTGGAATTAATAGAGGCAGGTTATAACTCGTATGACAGGTCGAGAAGAAGTAGGGAGAGGAAGAAGACGTTACTTGTAGGCGTCAAAAGACGAAGTGAGTACTTTATTAGTATTAGGAAGCCACCAATAGCTGTACACCAGTCATTAGTGTTTGTATAGTTTAAGCCAGTCATACCGACTTAAACAGGACCTCCTAAATCTCATTATAATATTTTGGAGTGACTAGGTCAAGGTAATCAAACTGTTTAGAGGCTACTTCAACAGCCTCCCTGCCTCTGAACATATTTTATCAAACTGACAATTCTATGTTATAACAGAGGTAAAACTTTCTTTAAAGGACTTTTCCTCAGTCCTTGAAACGCCGCCAGGAAATCGCTTAGGCTAGCCGATCTGACTTTGCCCTACAGTTTCTGCTAGGGAAGGAGGAAGCTAAGTGACACGCCTAACATGTCGTCTCTACTTGCCGCTGCTACGAAGCAGGCACCCTCGCATCGGCAGAGGCTATTTCGGTGGGCACAGAGCCCTTCCGATCTGCAAACAGCGAGGGAGAAGAAGAAGCGGGCGCCGCGGACAGCACTGCAGCTTGCGCCAGTTCTCATCGCCACGCTGGAGGAAGGGGGGAAGGGGCTTCTCGAGCACACGTGGCCACCACTCCATCGAAGTCACTTAACTGGGGTATTTAGTGATGATGTCATTTGTCACACAGAAACCACAAAATCTACACATTATGACACCGACTACGTGTCCAGTGACACAAATGCTGAAAGTGAAAGCGACTGAGATGTACTGGCGTATCTCTAACAAATTTGTTGTTAAGCATGGATTATTATTGATAAACTCATGTGTCTAGATCATTCGGTACTTGACCAGGGAAACCTCGACGAGGGAAAACCTTGTGCGAACAAAAAAGAATAAACCCCAGTGGGAAAAAATTCTAAAAAGAACGCAGAATATAGACACGCTTCATGCGCTTGTATTATCAGGGTATTTCTAAACTGAGTGGCCGGATCCTGCTTTCAGACATTTCATCCTGAGCTTGGCCCTTAGTTCTCTAGACTGGTGCTTATCTAAAGCTTTAGTGAAGATGTCAGCTATCATCTCTTTCGTATTGCAGTAGGTGACGTTGAATTCATGCCGCTCTACTTTTTCTTGCACGAAACAGTATCGTACGTGTATATGTTTTGATCGTCCGTGAAGTTCGGGGTTGTAGCAGATTTTGATGCAGCTCTGATTATCCTCGTATATTGTGTTAGCCTGCGTTGTAGCAAAGCCAAGTTCGTTGAGGAGAAGTTTGAGGAATATCATCTCTTGCATGCAGTGACACAGGGCGATATATTCTGCCTCTGTTGTAGCGAGAACTACCGTATGATGCTTACGCGAAAGCCATGATATAGGACCGCTAGCTAGCATTGTCACGTATCCTCCAATAGAGCGTCTCGAGTCGGGGCAGTTGGCGTAGTCAGAGTCACTGTAGGCAATCAGTTGATCGGCAAGGTTTTCCGATGTAATATTGGTCGAGCCTCCCAGAAGAAGACCGTATTCTTTCGCTCCAGATAGGTACTTTAGACCACGAATGACTGCTTTCCAGTGATCCATACCTGGATTGGCTAGAAATTGGCTGACCTCTCGCATGTAGAATGCCATATCGGGTCGAGTGCCTACCATTAAATACATGACACTACCTACAGCTTGTCGATACGGAATCGATTTCATCGCATCTTTCTCTTGCTCACTGCTGGGCTGGCTGCTTACGGAAAGTTTAGCGTTCCGTTCTGCTGGTGTTGCAATAGGGTACGGAATGTAGTCGCTGAAGCGGTCAATGACCTTCGTAGCGTACTTGTGCTGGTGGATAAACATCGCTCGGTTTTTACGGTCGCGTTGAATTGACCAGCCGAGTAAGTACTTCACCTCCCCTAAATCTGACATGGAGAAACGCTTTTTCAAGGCTGATTTCAGCTCACTGACGAGTGCTGGTGTAGGCGCAATGATCAGTAAGTCGTCGACGTACACTGCAATGTTACAGGTGATGTCAGCAACTGTGCGTCGAAATACGCATCGATCTTTAATGAGTTTCAGGAACCCGAGATTCTCTATGAAAGGCAGACAAGGTTTGGTACCATACACGAGGCGCTTGTTTAAGCCCATATAAGCTCTTAAGAAGTTTACACACTAGGTTCTCCTTGCCCGGGATTTTGAAACCTTCCGGTTGAGCCATGTAGATCTCCTCTTCCAAGTAGCCATTAAGGAATGCTGTCTTAACATCCATTTGATGGACTTCAAAGTCGAGAAGAGCTGCAATAGTAAGAAGTAGTCTAAGTACCTCCATCCTGATGACAGGAGAGAATATCTCGTTGTAGTCGATGCCATATTCCTGAAGGAATCCTTTGATCACAAGACGCGCTTTAAAGCGGTCGATTTCGCCAGTGCCGATATACTTTACTACAAAGATCCATCGGCTACTTAAAATCTTCCTTTCTTTAGGAGGGGATACCAATACCCAAGTGTGATTGTCCATGAGGGACTTGTATTCCGATTTAGCTGCTTTACACCACTGGTTAGCGTGGGAAGACTTCATTGCTCCCCGATACGTAGTGGGCTCAGACACATACCGAATAGCTAGTAATGTGTACAGTAAATGCTGACGTTGCTCCTGTTCGTGTATGTCTTCCTCAGAGTTGGGGGTTACGTCATTGGCTTCCTCAGAGCTATCAATGACTTCCGCAGAGAGGCGGGGTCGCTTAGGAGTCGAATGATGAGGAGGATCAGAGTCCGTCTCTGTTCGAAAAGAATAATGTATGGCTGTTCGATCAACAGCCTCCCTCGGTGAGGGCAGTACACGTTGGTTCACTGTGCCTGGCGCTGTTGTCATTGCAGGGCCTGATGTGGGTGACGGTGTGATCACTGGTTCTGACACATGTTCAGGCTCCAGTGCTACTGTAGTAGCAGTTGCAGGTGGCAGAGGTACAGGTGCAAGTGTAGCGGTAGATTTCTGCCGATTTGTGGACTGTGTGGGCTCTGGAGTAGACGTTAGGCCTGTGAGAGAGGGAATTCGTCCTCTTTAAAGACTACATCACGACTGTAGATAATTGCATGAGTATTGATGTCCATCAGACGGTAGCCTTTCTTATGGTCAGGCACACCAAGATACATACACAAACGGGCTCTAGCGTCGAGTTTGTCTCGGTATTGCTCCGTGATGTGGACATATCCGCTGCATCCGAATACTTTGATGCACTGCATGGATGGAATACGGTTGTGCCAAAGCTCATACGGGGTTCGTCCATCCGTCTTGGAGCTAGGAGTCATATTGATGAGAGTGGTCACATGACAGACACACTCGGCCCATAACCGCTTCGGTAGCTTGCCGTCAAGTAGAAGGGCTCGGACACGCTCCATAATGGTACGCATGCGGCGTTCTGCAACTCCGTTTTGCTGAGGTGTGTATGCATTGGTAAACTGGGCGTGAGCTCCATACTTTTTAAATATGATGCGGCCAAGCTTCTCGTAGTCTTTAGCGTTGTCTGCTTGAAGCCGCTGAATCTCAAAGTTACCCTGGTTTGCATTGTCTTCAACACTGAACGCGTACTCTATGACAGATATATCTTGTCTGAAAATATTCAGGGCTTTCTTCCTGAAGTCTTCGTAACAGCCATACAACTCGCTACGGTTCTTAATTGCATAAGTGAACATGAATCGAGAAAAGTCATCGATGAAGATCAAGAAGTAGCGACAACCAGTAAGGCTAGGCACAGGTAGTGGACCACAGATATCTGAATGGACTTTTAACAAAGGTGATGTAGCACGTTTAACAACTCTATTAGAGTAAAATGGGGAGCGGTGTGACTTCGCTAACGGGTCCTAACGCAAAGAGTCCGTAATGCGTCCGTAGAAGGTAGATAGGGCCTTAGCCCCGACCCTCCAGAGCCATTTTTTGGCCGACGCCCCTGAAGATAGGTCATTCAAGACACGAACGTTAGGGTGTCCAAGGCGTTTATGTAAGAGCAGAAAGGAACGTTGCTTACCTGAGGCAATAAGAGCCGCTGGAGGTGCCGCTGGTTTGGCTTGGAACTGATACAGATCCGTGTTGGTAGCCATGAGCGCTTTGATCTTGAAGCGCTGGTCAGTTTGCATAGAGCACTGTTTGCGGTCAAAGTTGAAGCGAAAGTCGTGCTTCACAGCTGCTGGAATTGAAAACAGACTGAATTGAAGCTGGGGAGCATACAGGACGCCATGAACGATAAGCTTCTGCATAGTGCCCTTGAAGTCAGTGACTTCCAGATCGACCCGTCCAATGCCTTCGATGGGGATTTGGTTATTACCACCAACCGTAATGGATCCACCACTGGAGGTGATGTCGGTAAACCACTGAGACTCATGGGTGACGTGTCGAGTGCAGCCAGAGTCGATTGTCCAGGTGGGATCGGGTTCTATCTTGGCTTGAGCAGTGAGGCTAAACGGGAAATTGACTGTGGTAGCAACAGCGATGAGACCGGTGTCACGACGTCCTTGGCGAGTTACCTTGCGGTTGTTTCCAGAATCACTGTCGTCGTCATCGTCATTGTCTGACTCAAGCGGGCGGTCCTTGTAGCGATCTTGACCGCGTTGTTTGCCGCTATTTCCGTGCTTGTTCTTGCTACTACTGTTGTTGCCCTTGAAGTCGCGGTTGTTATTATTCTTGCCGTGTCGCCCATTGTCACCTTTGTTCGTGTTCTGGTAC